CCCCCCGGAAATGCCTTAAAAATCCTATACGAAAACCACAAAATTCCAGGAACGCCTCAAATCGATTTGGTCCCTGAACAACTCTTGTGGCAAATAGGATGTAGATCACTAGTACTAAAAAAAAAATTGAAAAAAGTGAAAAACTCGTGAAGTTATGGCCGGTCAACCAAAATCGGTCTCACACTTTCCGGCACTGTACTGCAGTACACGCGACAACTACCCCCTGGCTCAACCAACGAACGTGAATCCCGCAATAAAGATCAATTGGCCGGACACCGGGCTCACCAATACGTCGTTGTATGGTATCACACTGCCTCTTTATCTGTTGGGACTTCGAGGAATATCTCTCGAGGTAACCCACGGCGTAGACTATTGGTGTTCCTCCTCAGCGTCAAAAATAGCAGTTTATTTGGTTGCTGCGGCGCACCAGCTCGTCATCAGCTTTCAAAACTGTTCGGAAAAAACGGAGTATACAGCTCGACGCATCGGTGCTATTGATAGACCCGCCGCAGAACGAGCCGACCGGTCTCAACCACGCTCCCAGATCGGGCAACTAACGCCCCCCTCTGCTTCTCGTAATTGCAACGAACCCTAGCTGAATGTATGTGCTGCGCATGGTCACACAAAGGCCTGCTTCGCTACCTTACACTTCAGCTCGCCTCCGCTTCAGCCGGGCTATCCTAGATTACCAAAAACGGTTGCTGCTTTTTGTCTTGGTCAAAAGTGCACTAGACTAAACATGGCACGTATTTGTTTTATTTGTTGCGGTATGTTGTCCGGAGGACGGCGGAGACGATGTCTTCCTTTGACGGCAAGGCCATCCGCTCGAGGTTGAGCGCATACGGCATGGGCACGTCCGCACCCGTCACCTGAAGAAAGAAAAAGATGCACACGTACAAGGGTTTTTTCGAGGGAGGCATTGCTTGGGGTTGGAAGAATTGCGGCCAAGGGCGAATGCCTGCCCGCACCCAACGATGTCCAAGGGTTCAATATTCTTGTGGGAGTCGGGGGGGAAACGCTGTGGTTTTGGCGAGACCCGCCCCAAGACAAACTTCAAAGTGGACGGATAGATCAGTAATAGACAGGGATCGAACAAAGGCATACTGCACATATCGAAGCTGCGGAGTCGCCGGCACAAGACCTAAAACCTCGCGCGCGAAATACATTTTGCAAAACCGAAGAGGAAAAGGCATCAACGGATGTATGGAACCGAGGGGGGTCTCTCGCGGACAACAAAAAAAAACGAGGAGAGCCCCTGTAGTGTGTACCAACCATGTGCCCCCCAAATCATCAGAGTATGAGGGTACGCGGATTCACATGCTGGAAGCACTGCTACCCCCTCCCCCCCCCCGCCGTGTTTGCCATCGGGATTGGGTTTTCGTCGCTTGGCAACGACGTTGTAAAACAAGCCAATTCACTTTGTGAACTCGGCAACCAGGTTACCGTTCTTTTTTTTTGTTACCTCTTTTTTTTTGGAGGCAANGACATACGCAGCTGTCATCCGAATGCAAGGAAGTAAGCACAAGATGCCGAAAACCCTTAGCACGATGCAGCGCACCCTTCATGCGACTCGCCGAATATCTCATGGCGCTTCGCGCTTGGTGATGTGAGAGCCTGGTCCGTTGAGAACCCGGCGTGCTCCGTCCCGGCTTTGTAGGGATGCGAGGTCAATGGTCTAACGACTACGGAATGCACGACTATGAGTACCCTCCCCCCCCCCCCGCGCATTTGTTCGGGCGCTTATTGTAAGAATATAGTCTACATATTATTTTTGTACAGATTTATTCATCATATCAAAACCATAAGACGTGTATAGGGTTATATGTTTACCAATACAAAAGTATCACAATCTAAAACCCCTAAAATACTAGGTACGGTGTCCTAGTTTGCCTGTCCATACCAAATCTTATATAATACAAAATGCATAGATTATACTAACCGATACTGAATTCTACTTCAAGTATCGTATACGGTAGATAACAGTCCCCCTCCTTGCCCTCCCCCCTGATCTGGTCCTTACTTCAGTTGTGGCAGTACTTTTGAATCCGCGTGCCATCTTGATCAGAGCAGTCACGCCAAACCTCTGAAAACAGCATCGTCACAATCAACAGCAACAAGAGAGGGCGAACCCCCTCACTCACCCGCTCGATTTGTGCGTCGAGGTGGTCAAATGCCTCCTCGCAAACAACGGCCGAGATATCGGCCCCGATGCCGTTCTGCGGCCAGCCTTCCTCCACCGTCACGAGCCTGTTCGTCTTCTGGACCGACTTGATCACCGTGCCGTAGTCCAGCGGGCGCAACGTGCGGAGGTTGATTACCTGCGGGAAACGGGGGCGCACGGTCAAGACGGGGGCGTTGGAGGTGGTGGCGGGAACCGCGTTGCCGAACTCTATTACACTTCGTTTTTTTCACTTCGAAGTAATGATGAACGATGCTGTCACCGGTTCCAAGACCATATTGAGGAATGGCCATCTCATCACCGCCTACAACTTAACCGCGTCATCAGGAAGCGGGCGCAAACGGATACAAGTAAGGCTGCAAGAATGGTAAAAAAAAAAACACTTCTGTCGGCCATTTTACCTCCGCGCTAATGCCCTGCGCCGCTAGCATTTCCGCGGCCTCGAGCGAGGTGCCCACCATCTTCGAGAAGGTCACGATCGACACGTCCGTACCTGCAATGATACACATGGAGAAGGGCAGACGACAAAACAGAGGACAGATGAAGTAACAGAAGAAGGGCAGATGAAGCGACAGAGGACAGACAAAATAACAAAGGAAGGACAGATGAAGCAACAGAGGACCACGCGCGGCGCTACTTCTGTTCCCCTTGGCAAGGGAACCACTGCCGTCGAATTTGTTCGTACCCGCTTCGGAAGCGGTAGAACGGTACACCGAATTTCGTGACAGCAGAATTGTTTCCGCCACGTGAGCACGCAGGGGCATATACAAAGTTGTTTCCACGACGGTTACACAGGTGAGTAGATACTACTGTTGAGGTGGGAGTAGTCGCACGCCCCCTGTAGAACGACTTTCAAAGCTTCATTGCTCCGCAACTCAACAAAATGCGCAAAACCGACCAACACGCGCACGGAAAGCTCTCGTCCGAAGACCGCTTTCTGGTATTTTCCCGGCATCGTCATCCTCATGGTTGCGGGGCAATCGAGCTCATCTCAGAGTCGGTCTACGGGGTTGGGTGCAACAACCTCCACGAACAAAAACAAAAAAACTCACCCTCCTGCTCGACCTTCGCCTTCCCGATGGGAATCACGAAGTCCTCCCCCTGGGCCTCGTCCGTCATGGGGAACGGCACCCCGTAAAGCAACTCGTTCTCCAGGAACACCACCGGGTTGGGGTCCCGAATCGCGGACTTGATGAGGCCCTTGGCGTCCTCGCTGGACCACGGGGCGACCACCTTCAGTGCCGGGACCGACGAGTACCACGCCGCGAAACACTGAGAGTGCTGCGCGCCTGTAGCAGACATGTGTGGTCGAGCGGGGGCAGGAAGGGGGGGTTATTGGATGGTGGTGGAAAGCGCGCAGGCGGGGGTAGTCGTGTTTTGCACCCCGGAGCGGTCAGCCGTTGAGTAAGCGTCCTCCAGAGCCTCCAGAGCGGGGGGGGTTGCCTTAGGTAGTCTCCACTGCGGTCGTAAAGGCTGCGAATCTTCAAAACTTGGAACATAGACAGACTGAGGGCGTCGTTCAAAGTCTACAGCAGCAAAAGCAGTGGCAGCGAAAGCGTACAGTAGGCCTGGCATTGAGTATCTTCCTTGATCGTGAGGACGACGTTCACGTCCGACACTCTTTGCCCACTCACTTCCCCTGTCACACCATCCCCCCCGGCGACTTGTCGAATACCTCACGGAGCTTTGCGCTTTTGATAAGTGAGAGCCTGGTGCGGTGACACCCCGGCGTGCTCCCCCCCGGCCTTGTAGGGATGCCAGGTCAATGGTCAAACGACTGCGGCATGCACGGCTATGAGTACCCCCCCCCGCCCCCT